GTTTCTGATTCCATTACCTCGGTAACTCACTGGATTTTTTGCAAACAAAGTTGTATTTTGAGTATTATATTGCAGACAACTGTAAGAAAGGTTTTTTTAGGACTACTGTATCTATTCTCCGATCAGATTATCTTGAGACGCTAAGCAGTTGCGTCATTTTTATGAAAACTGATTTCAATGAGCATCAAGACAAAACATCTTATATTTAAAAAACAAACACCTCGTAAGTACTATAATTCAGAACCAACAGGTTATATTGCGGCACCACTCTTTAGGAGGACAATTTCTTTTCTTTCTCGGACGATCCAACATGCCGCACTTGCTTCGAGTTGTTGCTCTCAGCAGTTTGCCCGGCTGCTCTGCCGAGAAGGGATGGAATAATGCGTGATTTCAGGCGTGGTTACATACATAAAGCTGTGAAACACATTTAGATAATTTGAACTTCTGAATTTGCTCCCCCCAATTGTTCTTAAATCTAAACTTAACCAACTATTTTACATAAAGGGGTCGTTGGCCTCGGCAGGGCGCGTGCTAGGCACACAACAGTCTTACCAAAGGTTTGATTTCAGGCGGAACGCAACGAAACAGCCTTCCGGTACCTCGGGAACGAAATAAGAAATAACAACAAAAAAAGCAAGGAAAGAAAAAGCAGAGAATAAACATTTCGCAACTTCGATTATCAGTTCGACGAACTTTCGTGAACTAAAATAAAATAATTTTTCCATATAATCGTATATTTTCTATGAATGTAATAAAATATTAGTAAAAAAGAAAAAAAATATGATAAATATAGAACTATTTCTATTAAACTAATTTGGGGTGCGTTCCGGAACCTACAATATTATACTTCAAGCTCTGGGCTTACCCGACATCGATGCATTGATGCGGCATCTTCTCTGCGGGCGTTGGTAGCGGCAACGGTGGTGGCGGCGGTGGGGGCAGCGGCGTCGACGATGGCGATGTTAGTGTTAGGGCGAAGATTCGCGCAGCGAACCCTCAAGTGTTGCACACATTTCCGTCCAACAACCCACCGTCCTTGTGCCGTCCACAGACCATCAGTCCTCATTGTTCTTCCGTCATCGGAACAGATCATTCACGGCATTATCCCACAGACGGTGTACTGTTGTGAACCCCAGGACCACATGACTGTTATTGGCACGCGGGTTGGCGGCGCGGTCCCGCAATAGGAACTGTCGCTTCTTGCGCCGCCTAGCGCACAGAGTACTGGCGGAGTTCGCGAAGGAGGCGGCGACCTCTCTCGGCTGCCCTTGCAAGAAGTGAACCTTTGAGACGCGGTCGCTCCCTTAAGCTGGTAGTACTTCAAGCCATCGCCAGAGCCCGAGGCATAGGCGGTTGCCTCTCCTTTCGTAGGCGGAGGGAAATTTTAGAAACGACCGCTTCATAAGATGGTAGCGATCGAAAATATATTGATAATACCGAAAACACCGGTATTATATCATACCTCTCTCAAACACATTTATTCCTTCATACCGGTAAAATACTTTGTAAGACGCATATTCCGCAATGATGACCATAAAGGTTATACATGTACTACAACGGTAATAGAAAATATTTAGCTCTCACCATCGATAAACAGTAAATAACTTCCTTTCGTTCATGATTTTTCAAAATGCTTCTTAATAAAGTTAAATGCGCAACCGCGCACACTCTCAGCAGAAAAAAACTTACTACATAAAGCTTCCACACATCTAAATATTATCTCCCTTGCCCTCACCATTCTTTATCCGTTACTATAATGAATGGGGAGTGAACCCTGCCACATGGGTAGGCAATTGCTGATTGGTTGCAAGTCCGCGACACATATTCCTCCCGGCGCTTTCAGTACAAACGTAATAAAATAATTCCTTTAAATTCTTGTAATATGCAATACCAAATCAGATATGAACGCTTCAAACAAATGTATATTAAAAGATGTGTTATTACAAACGAGAGGAGTAAATGCAGTTGCATATCAAGCGAGGAAGGACAAGTTTCGATTAAACAATGGACGACGCAACACACGTGCTTATGGTGTGATGAAATTTTGTATTAGTGTAAGTTCTTTACAATAACGCGCATGTAACTACAAGTTACGTTTTGATTTACGTATCCTGTGTAGAACATTTTTTACGAACACTCCATGGCTGAACATTCATCTCCATCACAGTCAACATCTGCAATTGTACAACATTCACGCAAAAAGTCGTCAGAATGTGGTGAAACGATATATTTGAAACTTGTTCAATTCATCACGCAATAAGAACACGGAACTTCGAATTCGAAGACGGCAGAGCCACTGATTCAGAATGAATCTTTTTCTCTTCGTGAAAGTTCCGACTAATTTTCATGTTAAATCTATGTTAGACTACTGCAATGTTTTGCCAATTGTTGGCTTACGTGTAATACAAAATTATATGTCATATGGAAGACTTGCAATAAGTCACGTTTTTGTGGTGTACAGAAATTTAGTATCATCTTATCCACAATACGTTTGATAATTTTTAGAAATAATACGTTGAATGAATGCATTAATATCCTGACAAGTGTTTTGCAAGTCGATTGAGTTGTCGACAAGTTGACAAGTCGACAAGTTGATTGTCTAGCAAACTTCTATTTCTCTTTCGTATCCTCCACATTTTATTTGCAACGTGTGGGTGTATTCGAGATCGACAGCAGCGTGAAGTGGCTGCGGTGCGTTGACAGCTGGCAAGACAACAGCTCAGTTTGTTTGATTGATTAGTGATTCAGGGCGCGTCAACTACCAAGGTTGTAAGTCCCGTAAGTATAGTGCGTGTGGTTTCCCTCAACAGGTGGCGGAAATTTTTCCCCGCTTGATGGTGTGACCCGGCGCCAACCTAAACTCGCCTAACGTAAGCCTAACTCGGCTTACCTCCAACCGGGTATATCCTAACAGCGAGACATAGTGTAATCTTCCGACAGGTCGCCCGGTGTATAGTATTGTGCATGTAAGTGTAAATTTGTGCAAGTAAGGGGAGATGATAGGACAAGGAAGAGGAAGGAAAGATAGCGCGCGGTCCGTGGCCCGTGGAGCAGGGTACTGCTCCAGCATTCGCCAGGTATTGATCAGAGAAACCTCGCAAAACTACCGATCCGAGCAGCCGTCTCCTAGAATGCTCCTCCAAACAGCGAAAGAACTCCACCTAGCTATACAGCTAAGAGTTAAGTTAAGCTAAGTTCAGAAAAGCATGCCACCGTCGAAACTCGATCCTAGGGCATCCTGGTCAGACACATTGCAGTGACATCAATTGGTGCCCTGAGCCACCATTGCCGTTTCAGAGCTCAGAGTCCCCCAGATTACGCGCTTCAGCAGAGGAATACATTCCTGTTTGTTTACACCGAATCGTTGGAGAAAGAATAGGTGATTCAGAGGCTGCGAATGTTCAAAGTTCTTAGATTTCAAGGCACGCAATAGAAGAAGCTAAACACACGATGTCAGTTGAATACCTACTACCAAATCACAATAATTACGTGCTACACGTCAGAGGAGCATTCTGGACACTTTCTCATGTAAGAAATTATTGGAAATTAAAATAATATTCATAAGTAAATTTAAAAATGGTGTGCATCACAACGAAATACAATTATTATTTTTTTACAATTAATGTTTTTGACTAAATAGATTAGTTAATGATAAATAAATAAAGATATTGTCAGGTATCAATATATAAATAAAAAAATATTGATACCTGACAATATCTTTATTTATTTATCATAATAAAAGGTATCTACTTCACCAACAATCCAATTAATAGATTAGTTAATTCAAATATCTCAAGAACAATCAACAATCGAGATTTAACGATCCTACTAATGTAGACGTACATACTAGGCATAAGCGAATTCTCACCACGTGGTCACTTGTTTTTGTTATGTTACTACGCCTGCTTCTTTGGTACAATATCGAAATCTTAGTTCCGGCCAAAAGCGATTGAGAGACGAGGGAGCGAGAAAGACCAGAGATATTTTCCTCGGTTAACTCCCAAGCTCAGTACTAGGAACCTAATATTGTCCAGGGAAAAGTTACTCCTCCTTAACACCTACTCATCAGACAGTATCAGAAGGTGTAACTTTACACGTAAGAAGCTCTGTTGTGAGAGTTAGTTGATATTTTTTACAAGAGTCGTAAATGTTGCAGGGCTGAACATACAAGTATCGATTTCTACAGAAAAAGAAATTAAATCATCGGAATGAATCGCACAAACATAAACGAGCAAGTTGTGTGATTATGCATGATATGAGTATTGCATTATTTGTTAAGAGTGTGGCCAACATATAAACATTTCATAAACCGTTCCTTTTTCTAATTGATAATGTACGTTCATGAATGAGTGCTGCGCTTTCCAACTGGCATCTAGTTATAGCTTTACATTGGCCAGAAATCTTTCACCAACTTGTTGTGGAAATGAACGTGTTAAGAATTCATTATACGATGAATTTAATTTTTTTGGTACATTTTTAGTGAAGAAAATATTTATACCATTTAATATTGAATGAAAACAATGAAACCAACTTTTCAACAATCAACTCCATAACATTCTCCCTAACAAGCGCAATGATACTGTATAACTAATCTAATTTTCTTAGATTAAATTCCAAAAGAAACAACTCCATGTATTTTTTCGAGATTTGAACTTTCGAAGTCAAATTGTAACAAAGACCCCCCCTCCCACTGACTTCATTACTTGTTTGGAGTTTCAGTTAGCTTAAATATTTAAATTCTGCAAATTCTGAATCATGGAGTAAAGGAATATATCATAAAATATTTCCGTCCATTGATGCATTCAAATTTTCATAATATGGAATAACCTGTTTTTTAGACATGGGGGAACAGAATAATTTACGGGAACATGTACTGCATTTCAAGGTGTACAATTCTTTAATTAAGTTCCATTACAGTGATTCCAGACAGAAGATTGGTACAATACCAGGATCACAACAGCAAGAGCCTGTATAGCAAATCACAGTGTCGAGCAAAGCCTTCAAGTACATATGAAAGACATGTTGGAAATAATATTAATCTCTTCAGAAATTTTCGAATTTCTCACATGAAAACGTTAATGGACATTATATTGTTTTCTACAATAGACGTTTCCTGAACACGTTCAGTAATTAGTGAAAGAGATAATTTGCAAGTATTGAACGCATGGTTATCAAAATCTCCGAAATACGTTCCTCTTCTGATAGGAGTAAGTTCGAAAATTTTGAAAGGAATACTCGAAGGCAAAGCTCGCGCACACAGAAACATAGAATATTTGCGGGAGCTGGTTCTCGTGATATCTGGTTAGATCTTCCACCTTCTGTTAATCTTACCACAATCGTGCTTTTAGATATATATGTACACTACACATGCATCGCTTATTCCGTTGAAAAATAGAGATTTCTTTTAGTATATATATTCTAATGCCACATGGTGAGTGAGGACACAACGTGGAGAGGATTCGGAGTGCGACATGGCTACTGGTAGGAATTTACAGTCGCCAATTGGTCGTTTACAACTGGAAGATTGTATTCTATCTACAAGCTACTTCTCTCCGAAGAATCTCAACCACTTATGTACCAACATTCCAACATAGTATCCATCACTCACAACAAACTTTTAGGCTATTTTTATACATTTATACATTAACTGTCATTTAGCATTGGGATAACAGTCACACAACACCACACAATGTCCGATACGATGAAGAGAGATGGCATTTTAGGCGCACAACAAAACTATATCGACAATAAATATAGTACACCTATGGTATTTGTAAATATGATTAAGCTTTTGAAATACATTTTTTGAACACCCATGTTTATATTTTTCTTTCCTGGCAGGTTGCTGGCAGGCTGCAAAGGTTTAGGGTCGGAAGATTTCGGTAATAAAGGATTAGGATTACCTCAGGATCCTAAATAATGCACCGAATTTCCACATACGGAATTTTGGATACGTTAATGGCTCTTGACAGGCCCAATGAACACATAACTAATACTTCACATCGAAAATATACACGATATAGACACCCAACAAAAAACGTGTAGTATACAATGGCATTGCGTCAATATACTGCCATTTCGCTAGCGGTGCCGGCGGGCGAGAGCAACCAACAAAACGGATAATCAAGTTCGCATCGTATACACTCAGCCGGGCTGCGTCTCTCCGCTTGTCAAAGACAGGAAGCACTGCTGCACGAACCCTCAGCCTGCACGCCTGGACACGCAGGATCATCCATCTGGCCGGGAAGAGGCGGCGCGTAATCGCGGGAAGGCACGGGAATATGGGACGTTCTGCCAACAACAGGTGTTCTGCAAAGTTTCGCGCAAAATCATTTACCACCACTCTACAACGTCAAACATCCACTCGGAGGTGTAGGAGGGGTTTCCCATCAACTGTTGGCGTGTACTGTAGAGCGCCCATTCTCAGAATTTCCGTTGACAAGATCGTGAACTATCCACTGTACTCGAAAACGCTCGCAAAGAAAGTTCCATGCTGTAATATCCCGAGATTAAGTTATATTTCGGAATCGACATCGTTACATTTGAATAGTGCTAGACATTTTTTCTAGCGAATTATTAGACATTGTCATCTAGAAATGTGTTAATGTTTAATCTTACAAGTTTGTTTTCATTGCACTCCAAAAGAAGATATTATAAGAATTTGTACACTGTTAAATTTACTAGTTTTAAACCTTATATCAGATCAAAAAGCTTACCAAGTCTTTTAATGTCAATATAGTCACATAACATGAAAAGTAATAATTATCTACGCCTTCTACTTTAATTTAGTTTATCGTCGGTACAATATCCTGTCCTCGATCCAATCCACAGCCTTTCAATATTAATTCCAAAAAAAATGGACGCTCTACTGCACAAAATCTTCCATCTAGGCGTGAGAACACAAAGAAAAGGAATTTACAATACTCATAAAGGTATTTATACTCTCACTTTTCACCGTCACCACCATCACCATCATCATTACCTGTACGACCAACTTCAGGAGTGTCTTCTATTTCATCACTCGTCAACAACAAAAAATGGTTAAAAAGAGTCTTTTAGAGACGATGCGCTTCCTGCTGGGCACAACAAAGCACGTCGTAAACATTGAGCGCGTCTGCATTTCAACCCGTAGGCTATGCAAGAAAGCGTGCATTGATGTATCTGTCGAGACCGGACAGGTAGGGAGGTTTTTGGATGTAACAATTCGCGCATTTACATCTCTGACATGCATACACCCGCCTCCAAAAGACGAGAATGCCATGCTGTCATGCGTTACGCGTGCAAAAACCGCGTAACAAAGAGTTAACGGACTGTGGAAACATTCGTGAGAGAGTGACATAGAAAGCATGAAAATAGACGAAATTAAAAGCATTACATCAGAAATTCACATGAGCAAGTAACATACATCCATGATAATGCCAGAAAATCACAACAAATGCGTGTCACTACTTGCAATCAATGATTGACGCCTGGGCTTAGGGAGGTATTTTTCAAATTAATGCTTTTTCGCATACCAACTATAAATACATGATTCACGCTGTGTAATCGTTTTTTTAAACAAGGCTTCACAATTAAAAACGCAGCACTTTTTCTTAACATTTGTACCTTGGTCCACAGTTCAACTGCAAGATTGACTAATTTTAAAAAAAAAGTAAGTGTCGAACCCTCGGCTACATGCGACGATCATGAAGCACTGATATAACAGAACTTTGCCACAAAAGCACAGTCAGATACACATGGAGAGACTGAAAATCAGCATACGAAGCGAAGTATTACATCGTTCGAAGGCGCTGGGCGGTTGGAAGGACCCTGAACCCGGGCAGAATCCCACAATGATGGATGTCACAATTAGCAGCCACGTGGTGATGTGAGTTGTGGGATAGATCATTTTCAGAAAGCGTACGAACTACACTTGGAGAGAGTGAGCAAAACCTGTATTTATTAATTTAGAAAGAGTTTGCTTTCGTCTTACGGTGGCAGATTTTTCTCCCTTCTCTTGTAAATGCTTTGAGACATTCAACAAAACTAGAGATATTCATTTGAAATGTTTAATCCTTGACACAAATGTCATTAAGTATCAAATATCATAAACTCTAGGAAATAAAAATAATAAAAACATTCCAAAAATATTTTCGAGATGTTTTCTCGAGTATAATTTCTCGCATGGCAGATTTTTCATAATTACATAAATCTGCTTTTTGTGCTTCTCTACGTTTGAATAGAACGTTGGGATGTTGAGAATAATGGTTGCTATTCGGTTGAATTCTCTTCTACCTTAGTAGCGCAAGAGAACATAATATACTCGTTATAATGTAAATAAATATAAAGATACAAAATATAAATAAAATCGCAATCTAAGTACAAAGCCACATATTTTTTCAACTCAGTACTAGATTTAACTTCACAACAAAATAGTTCACAGAGATATTTTTTTAAGCAGTACCAAGAAACTCAGTCTGTCTTCCAATGTCCGCCAGTTCACGCACGAAATATTTCAAAATAGATTAATAAATTATTTTAATACTATTACAAATCATTCCAGTTTATTATAATATTATATCATTTGTTTTCATGAGGAGTGATGTTGCAATGCATTTCAACGCTCTCTACATTATTGAAATGTGTGAGCGTTCTGAGAAACAGAGATGACCAAATTGTAACCTTGAAAGAACAAAATATCATTCATTGGAATCCTGTTCTTTGAGTCACGCACAAGGAAGGTTTTTCCACTCAATAAACGTCTGCTTCACACAGCATCAACAGCCCCTCTGCATTTTTAAAAAGATAGTGAAACGCAGTTATCTTTGATTCTAAAATTTGTGATTTTAAAATATCTCAAGCAATCGTGCGGATGGAAGTTCAATATCGAAACATTAATTAAATGCATGTTCAAATTCCCAACAGAAATTTGTAACAAATACCACATTGACTTCATTACACCTTTAGATTTGTAAGAGGCTATAATATTAATTTTTTTCAAATTCGGAAATTTGAGAGAAGAAAATTGAAAAGGGCATGAATGGGGAGAAAATGTTGCTATCAATTAATACTTTAAAATCTTCAAAAATTGAGAATAATTTTTCTTCTATATTTCACGGAATGGTGGAACAGTAAAATTTAGGAAAATATTATGACTAAAAGAAAATTGAAGCCCTTACACCTCATGCATTAGTATCGCAGTAATACGTATTCACTATTCGCAATCACTTTAGGCAAATAATAAAAACAAAACTCTGCAAAAACAGGTTACATTTTTGAAGGAAATAGATAATGATATTTTGGACAAAATTTCAAATATTTAGTTTTTCATTCAATACTTGATTTTATCTGAAGCATTGAAATTTTATTTTTGCAAGGTATAACACCCTGAAAAATAAATAATGAAAATACCTATTGTCTCTCAATAATCTGATAAGATGAAGAGACTGATCAATTAAGTGAAATTATTTAATCATATTGTGCAATTGTAATGAACAGCTAGTGCGGTGGTATTCATTTATCAAATTACACCTCATGCCTTTGAAACCAAATGCAGGATATATCATCATTTCAAATACGTACGGGTATAATCAAATGATAATCCAACTGTATTTTCTATCTTTGAAAATTTGGTAATGCTGATCAAAAATTATTGGTTTGATACGCACTCTCAGTATTGAATTTTTCAGTAATTTGAGGTCTTCAATAACTGCAATCGAAGCATTTCATGCAAGTTCCCTCTAAATAGAGGGATCTATTAAACATGGGATTTGAAAACAAAAACCAAGATATACTATATCGTGTGCGCACTCATATATTCAACATAATTTACATAAACACTAAAAGTACTGCTAATTACCATTTTGTTCTCAGGACGGAGTTAACAAAAGACACCTTCGAAGTTCGTCTGTAAGATGGAAATCTGCACCCACAGAGTACCTGTCTCCGCCAAATAATGTTAACTAAAATTCAAAAAAATTGTGAATAAGAAATCTTTATGTACCGATTGCGAATCAGAAAACAAGTTTCTGTTTCCTCAAGTCATAAACCCCAAATGTATCACATTAAGAACTAGAACAATACGCCAGTATGAGGAAATCTTATTAGTATTAGCAATGCAGGAATCTGTCTTATACTAACAAATAAAGAAAAAAATCATTTTGAAGGTTATAAATAAAATTAAATCTTCAAAAATAGAAACAAATAAATAAATGAATGAAAATGTATTGAACTGTTGTAATAAAGGAGGAAAATGCTTAATTTATTATTTGGAACATCTCAGAAGTATTGAATATTAAACATATATTTTCTCAGGAATACAAGGAGACGAAAATAAGCACATTTTCTTGCAAATTAAAAAAAAACACTCATAATTAAACCCAATTATTTTGAATATTGATAAGAATGTTAAATATTGAAAATCGATGAAAAAAGTACATCAAAACACGGTATATATAAGGCAGATATACAAGGAATTACAATTACCCTTCTATTCACATCACCACGCAGCGTCCGTGGCTGGTATAGCGGCTGGTATAACTACCATAGCAGAGACAATTTATTAAGGTGGTCACTTCCTTTCTTTACCATCGCTATTCCACAACAATCGCATTTTTGTCTCCTAATAAGTGGACGCAATTAGATAGATGATTGCGACTAGTGTACGGAAAAGGAGGTCTAGCAACGCGGGAGCGAGACGCGAGAGAGACGAGAAGAGACGGATCGAAGCAGACGAGAGAGAGAGCAGGAGACGCAGGAGAGCGAGACAAGGCAGAGAGAAGAGAAGGGAGAGAGACGGAGAGAGACGGAGAGAGAGGAGAAGGAAGGAGAGAGAGGCAGAGAGCAGGAGAGAAGGAGAGAGAAGAGAGAGAGAGAGAGAGGAGAGAGAGGAGAGAGAGCGAAGAGAGAGGAGAGAGAGGAGAGAGAGAGAGAGAGGAGAGAGAGGAGAGAGAGGAGAGAAGGGAGAGAGGAGAGAGAGGAGAGGAGAGGAGAAGAGCAGACTAGAGAGAGTGAGAGAGAGAGAGACACTCGAAAATGACCTAAAGTCACCAAAATTGATTGTCCCTTGTATAGTAGCAATGGTGTGGGTTGCCGGCGCCGTCGCAGGCGCCGTCGCACGCGCCGTCGCACGCGCCGTCGCATGCATCATCGAAGGCTGCATCGTATGCACAGTTGTATGTGCAGTTGCATGCGCAGTCGCATGCGCCGTCACATGTGCAGTCGCAAGCGCCATCGCATGCGCCGTCGCACGTCCCACTGCAAGCGCCAGCAAAGGCGCCGTCAAAGGCACCGCCTCCAGCACCATGTCAACAGCCGTCGCACGCGCCGTCGCAGGCGCCCACACAGCCAGCAGCGACCGCTAGTAACACTGGTGGCGACAGCGAAGCGGCGAGCAGGCGTCGCAGGCGTCGTCGCAAGCGTCGTCGCAGGCGGGGCAGGAGGCGGGGGCGGAGGCGGAGGTGGAGGGCAGCTCCTCCCAGTCGCAGCTGCTGTCGCTGCGCGGGCGGCGGCGCGGGCGGCGCGGGCGGCGTGGGCGGCGCGAGCGGCGGGGCGACCGCTACCGGGAGGCGGGGGCGGGGATGTCGCCCAGCTCCTTGTCGGGCTTGACGAGGCGGCAGGACGCGTGCGTGCGGTCGGCCAGGTGGTGCGCCTGCGGAAACGCGTCCGACTGCGCATCAACCGCTGCCGCACTCTGCGCCGCGAGAGCGCGCGCGCAGCCGTGTCCGGTGAGGGGAACCCCCGAGAGCGGCTGGGGCCTTAACTGCCCTTTACCCAGCAATTCTAGGGGGATCTTAACTGCCCTTTGACCAACACTGCTAGAGATTTGACGTTGGCGGAGGCGATTTATAGCCCTTCATGAACACAGAGACCCGGGTACTACTTTATTTAGGCCTCTGGCATTCTGGAATCTGGACGATTTAAATTTTTAGTTGTATAAATGTGACGAGGCGTAAATGACAGGATGTTCGGATGAAATGATGAACTACATAGTCAACATCACGTCAGTATTGCTGTTGCAAAATTCATATTGGCAAAGATGTATATCATTACATCTATACGATAGGATTTACGGATTATATATCCCTGATAGTGTGTGTTCTATCAAAGTTTATGTAACGGGAGGGGAGGTTCATCAAATCATCCAATTGTATGAGGAACGTCCATCGACTTAACTTATTCACACACATTCACATACTCTATGTTATTGCAACAGGAGGCTTCGACAAAAAAAATTGCAACGAAACAAAGAAGTTTTAATGGCAAGTGAGTGTTTGATGGTCGTTTTTTCAACTACTAAGCCATAAAGCAACTACTGTAATTACTATTGTTTTTTGAACTTTGGAGGTAACGATGGAGTAACTCGCATACTGTATACGATCACACACAAACATGCATGTCCCGGCCGGAATTTGACTCCACGATCCTTCTGGCACGAGGTAGCTATGACCCTTCAGCCTCAGTGACCTCGGCTATCCAGGCCGACTATGTGAGAGAATGTAGCGCCATTCGTTTCTTTTACATTCTCGTTTGACAGAAATGTCCATAGATGAGAATTTTGAGTCTGGTGCCATGTTTCAGGTCGCGGTGAAAGTTAAGATGGTAGGAACCATGTTGTGTATAAATGATGTAAGAGAAAACAATTGGCGGTGTGTTGTGTGTTCATTAATCCTATATTCGTACAAAATTTCTCTTGTTTCCTGCGCCTATTAAGTCGAACATGTCTCTCTCTAAATATCCATTACAATATTAGCAATCATTTGTCAATATGAATATTTGTAATTCATTCTAGTAATTGCCGCATAATGTAGGTCGTGTGCCTAGGGATTCTTGTGTGTCAAATGCTTGAAACTAATGAGTGGGACGCAAGAGGACAACGAGTTGATGTAATGCTTTGCTTGTGTGACTGGGTGAGAAGAGACTGGTTTTCTATGTCTCGTCTCATTAAATTAATATCATCGACGTAACTGGGAATTCCTTCGGCAAAGAGTTAAACTTGCTGTTCTTGAGACATAGAACACTCTATTTTCCGTGGAGCATATTTAAATTATTCATACACTTTATATGCCGCACAATATTAACATTAAGTACTTAATTTGAATACTACTCGGTATTCCATACAAGATTACATCATCCTTTGAAAGTTAACTGTCATTCAGAATAATAATGGTGGACCTTTGATGAAATAGAGGATCTGAGAACTACAGCTCATTACTCTTTTCTGTGGCCTGAGACCAGGATAATTGATGTTCTAAAGATGGTAAAGTAACGCATGTCCAATTTAAAGTGTCAAATTATAAGTGTAATTAGTAATTACACAGTGAGTTCTATTTCCACTAAATCTACTTAAATTATCTATTCACGTCATCTGCTGAACAACCTTGAATTTCTCATTTAAGTCCAACTAACAATTTAAATGATTGAATGTACGAATATAAATTGCTGGAAATTACATCTTTTTGCAGAGGAATATACCCTTTTAATGCTACTTCATAGAATTCAGTATTGTTGATGAATAAGTGAAATCAGGTGATTAACTTCTTACAATATTGAAAAAATTTTTTATTCTTTTTACTTGAATCTTTTCTGCTTTATTTGGTTTTATTTTTGTTTTTTATTTTTTTCTTTTACATTATTTTCTTTTTTCTTTTTTATTTTATACTATTCAAATTATTTTTTATAAATCATTTTTTAACTATCTTTTTTATTTCTTTTCCATCCTACAAAATTCCTTCGTTTTAATTTTATAATTATTTATTGCTAATCAAAATTTTTTATTTTACTATTGCTTTTTTTTTATTAGCAATTTCATTGAAAGTGTGTGAAGACTCGAACGGGCATATTTCGCACACGACAAGACTAACTAGAAATGGAGCCTGCATAAGCTAGACAATAAGTAATACAAATGCTAATTGATACAAAATTAAACGCAGCGATAACACACGACTATCGGCTGCCAACACACTTCAAGAAATACCGACAGGCGCACGTCATGACTATGATTAAAATACTAGAGTCTCCTATTTCAGAACGTTGCCGTCAGGATTTCATGTCAACCAAAGATCTCCCAAAGGGTTAAAAAATGCGCACGTAGTCTACATATGAAATGCAAAAATTAATCAATAAGAAAAATCGATCCGGCAATTTTATTTTTCTTCCTTAAATTAAAAATTCGAATAAAATCAATTTTTCAGAATTGTCTTTTAAGAATGCAAAACTAGATAAAAAATATTGCTTTTTAACAGACGGGAATAATATTATAAAAATCTCAAACTGAACTTGAAAGATGGGGCGAAAATAAACGATTTCTATAAAGTGGGTAATTATATACTCGGGCTAAAATGTTAAAATATCAATAATTACAAAGCAGAGTGATATATATTTAAAAATTAATGATTTGGGGAATTATAAACCAATAGAAGCACGAATACGTGGGAGCCATCCGATCATGAGCGCCAACATCCGTCACACCCAACTTTAATGAAATTATATGAAATGTTGTCATTCAATTTTATGATTTTTTCTTGATGAACACGTGGCCGACTCAATATTCTCAATGTATACCGTGGGAGACCGTTTTAACTTATGAAGTTATTGTTAGGGATAAGTTAAAACCCCAGCCTTACTCTCCAAGGAGATCCCCAAAGTATTTTTGTTTTTGTGCACTGTCACTAAACTGTGTTGCATGTGAAGTTGGTTCGTGCACCTCATTTAGAGATGGGAGACATTTGATTGTTTTGGCAACACGTCACAATACAATATACATTTGGCTTGAAAGAGAATCTAATAAAAAGCGAATGATTAATTTTCGTTTATGTTTTAGGGGTCACCGAATATGACACATTATATTTATTCAGAAGACGCTTTATTACCAAATAAGAATAGGCCATTGAAACAGACATACAATTATATTATTCTCATAGTAAGAAGACAACACTCCCAACTGTACTAAGATAATAAAAGAATTTGTGTGTCTGTTTTAATGGCCTATTCTTATTCAAATCCATCACAGACATGTATTATTCTTTAAAACACTTTATTACTGTTTTTCTTGAAAAGAAAAGAATACGTGGTAAAATAAAGGAATAGCGAAATTAATAATAATGATAATAATGGTGGTAATGGTGTTAATGGTGGTAATGGTAATAATGGTGGTACGATTGAGGGCTTACAGAAGAGTTTAAATATTCTAGAACGGTATAGTGAGACATGGGGACTAAAAGTAAATACTTCCAAAAAACGAAAGCTATGTAGTCCTTCAAGCAATGGGTTTATTGGAGGTAGCGCAACAGAGAATGGCTACGTACGTCTAGCGGAAGAAGACAATGTCCGCGGTCAAACAAACCACCCTACAATCTTGAGGGCAAAATTTTCCATGAATGCGCGGATGAATAATCTCAATATTGACGGCTCACAGCCAAAGGAAGAATTGCGCTCAAAGAGAATCGTCATTAGCGCAGTGCGCAGAGTGGCTTCCGCGACATGTCACTCAGCGTGAAAAGATTATGGCCAATCACAATGTTCAAATCGTTAGTTCTCCCAGCTAGAACTATGCGCAGCAGGAAATCTGGGAGTGGATAGCATAGCATCGATTAGAAAAGCATCGAAACAGATTATTGCAAATTGAATTCTATTAGAGTTCTAGCGTGGCGCAGCAATAGCCGGAGCTCTTAAGAGAGCGTCGTAGTATAGGAATGTTAGAAAGATATTTAAAACTGAAAAACCTATTAAAACTCTTTGATCGCGATGGAGAGACCATTTTGTGAATACCAGAATTCGAAAGATTAGAACGCGAAAGGATGTAGTATTGTAATGGCTTAAAGGCCTTCGGCCTGCCACATAGGATCAAGTAATCTAATTTGTTTGTAATAATTACCTATTAAATAAAATAATAAATAATGGTGGTAATAATAATAATGGTAATAATAATAAATAATGAAATTAAATTGGATTTCATAGAAATATAAGACAAGAACAATTAAACAATTTCTGAGAATACTGAATTAAACAACAAAAAAATAAGTCTGCCGGAATTTTAAAAAAATTATATTATTAGGACACTAGTGGAATGAAAAGCAATACATGAACAAACGACATTTAGCATAGTCTTTGGTAAAAAATACAATTGAACTTGATACAAACAGGTTTGGAAAGAAATGATAAAGCAAGAGCAGAACTATGAAAGAATGGAACCTTGTGAATATAAATTATTAAAATGGAATGATTCCAAAGCAGATGAGAAAAGGAAGTATTCATAAAAAAAGAAAAATCATAAAAAAGTAATAACAATAAAAAATATAGTTTCTTAACAAAGCATACTGGTCTTGTTTCATGAGTTACAAATCATGCAATATTAGTAATTTATGATCCTAAATTAATTATAATTATTTAATTAGTGCATTTATCGTAACACGTAAAATAGATAATAACTGCTTATGAATTATAATTATTTTAATACACAAATTATAAATAATACATTTAATATGTAATAAAATATTGTTTAGAGTTTTTCAGAATATTATAAATATATATTTTTATAATTAATTTCTAATTAATATAAATATTATCTTGAGCAATTTGCTATTACTATGAGTTGACTGCACTGATGTGCAGAGCTAATCTCTTGCCAACAAATGCCATTTCTAAATGATTGTACGAATAGCAAATCCAGTGAGTGGATGCATCTGCTGAACTGGAAAATAGCGTGGACCCTCGAAATCCAATTGTCGAGACTGTGGACCCACATGTGAACTAAAAGACCGTGGCAGAATCCTACAGAGACAAATAATAATTATATACAACTCATGCATCATCATTACATTAATCGAGAAGTCTTTTAGGGTATAATTTGTATTATCTTAATAAAATAACTTAATAGGGAATTACGGAACAAATTTGTCTCTGGGCAGATTAAAACACAGCATTTGTTGTCACAGGCTAGTATTATTCTATATAAGATACTAACTTGTCAAAGGTATTTAGAAGAAGAGATATTTGAGAAGAAATTTGTTATGAATGAAACGATTATTGGATTCATCATATAATAGAAATTACACATGTTTAGTAGTCGCTAGATTAAATAGGAAAGATTCATAACTAAATACTTCGAAATTCTTACAACGACGCATTTAATTTACGAACTGAACAGACTTCATTCTGAACAACTTCTGTATACATTTTCTATCTTCGTAGACTGAGAGCTAATTAGAAAGGATTTCCTAAAAGAATTGCTGAAGCGGTACGCCGAGTGGTTAATAGGACGATACAAAACCAAATCGTCTTTAACTCTAATAATTTTGTTTCATTTAGTAGCTAATAACCTACACCAGAATTAAAATAGAACACTTTTTGACACATCAGAATTATATCAATGAAAAGTATAATGGTTTGTAATATCTTGAAAATAATATTTGTGCACTCACAACGATCAATTTTTTAATTTTTCTGTGGTGTTCAATGCACACACACCACAATCAATTACGAGAGAAACTAGATCGGCATTCTGAAAACCTTTCAGTTCATCAATTAGGTTTCTTATAGGTATACTTAATCCAATTTAGCTTGTAAAGGACATTACTCAATTTGAACTTCAGTGGCAATAGCATAAAATCTAATTGTGTATACAGTTCTATTTACAACAAATAGTTCTTAAATGATGATTTTTTAATTCTCAAGAATATCCTGCTTTAAATACGATTGACAATTATCTCTTTAGGTCGTAATACAAGCCTTAAGTACCTCTCTTCATCCCTACCCCATGACTCACCTGATTGGACGGGAAGCGACCATACAATGAAACGAGCGCCACAAACATAATGAGGCCGATACCAGATGGGATGAAGGCGGTCCACTTCACGGAGAGAGGGTAGTTCATGTAACGAGAATTCATCTGCATGTCCTCTGAAATCACAAAAGCACGAATCACTTTCCGGTTGACTAAGCTCGTAACTCACGATTTCATGTTTGAAACTATTCACCAATTTCTCTCAAAAGGAAGTAAATACTGACATTTTGTTTCCTGAACGCGCCATGTGTTGTCTGTGAATTTGACACGTTTAATAATTCATCTATTCATATGCAGATGAGTCAAAAGTGACGCAAAGGAATATTCGCACAAATAACGTAAGAATTCTGTAGTCGGAAATCACTGAAGAATTTTGAAGTTTTTTGAAAATTGAATGAACAAAGCTACAAAACCAATATGCAGAGCAAACTTCTTGAAAATAATACGTTGAATACAGCCTGTTTACGAGAATAGTATTGTGTTTTGTAGAGTTATGATATGATGTAGGAATTCCAAGGTGTGTCTGTTATGTACCACAACGGGCAAAACACTCAAGTAGTTACTTGTTCTCTGGTGAAAATAAGAACACATCACACGTTTTAAATATTTTCTGATATTTCCACTTTTCTTAATTTAGTCATTTTAGAACAAGTTTACATTTTTTTGAAAATGTATTCAAGAAAAAATCAAAATATTATTAATTTTAAACGTTTGATATTAAAATCACACACTAATAATCAAAATGTCAGCAAAGTTGTAGGTGAAACAGTCGAATTCAATATCATTCATTTCGTCAAGTTAAAAGCATTATTGGGGGTGAACTTTTAAGGGAGTAAACTGAATTTTTGTTAAGCTGTGAGCCATAGAATCTTCGATTAACTTAGTCATTATCTCCTGAGAGGTAAAAAGTATATTTTACGAGTGTATTACTGTATTTTAACCACTTCTTGTGACTACTGCGTAAAAATTAACTTCTTATCGATTAATTTTTTCAACATAGTATTAAACGAGGTGTCTGGAAATAGTGCTGAAAGTGCACATACGTGCTCACATTATTTCTAAGTTTGCAAATTTTTGATAACTCAGAATATTCAACGAAAATTAGACCTGTGCCATTCATTTAAGAGTGTTTGTTTTATCAGTGAAAAAAATTAAAGAAGAATATTGGTGTGGATTTTAGAAAAGCATTGTTTTTACGAATTCATTAATTAAAACAGAAAGTACAAAAAAAGTCTCATTTTTTTCAAAAAAGTGTTGGTGAAAATTTTTGAAAATTTTATTATTTAGAAGAATGGTTATTTAAGGCGAAAGTTTATATCTCCAACTTTGTAGTTTTGAAATAACTTTTTGCAGTTTTCGAAAATAAAGAGAGTTAGTGGGAAATGCAACCGGAAATAGCATTAATTTTTTTACTGCCTATATGTCTATAGGGCCTATGTCTATATGTCTCTTTGTCAATACAGTCCTTTATGCCACAGTGAAGAATTGCCGGTACAAATACGTCCTGAGAACGAAAGTGAGAACGAACAATGAGTGACTATGAATGTTAGAGTGACTAAAATTCAGAAGATAGAGAAAGAGATATCCATGCTGACCCAATATTTCAAGCCTCCTGCGATTCACGTGAACCACATTTTTGTCTCAAAGTTATCTCAACGATCTTGTTCAATATTTAAATTAGTCGAAAAAGAATAGGCTGATAGCTTTGCGACTAAAAGAATGGAAACTTCTTTCCTCCTGTACAAAAGCGAGTGTTTTTCGTCATGCAAGGCAGCTTCTACAAAATGATATTGAATCCGTTATGGAAACTCTTGGCCATGAGTTCAACGTACGAACGTAACTGAATGACACTTGTTCACCGATTCAGGCAAAATAATTTTGAATGCAGCACAATGACAAGTGTTCTTTTGTTCGAATTGTTCATGCAGTTCACATGAAGGAGAGAAATAAGGGCTTTGAACTGCTCCTCACGCTTAATAAATATGACAAAAACAAATGGAATAAATGTGGAGATCTCAAGATCTTCAATTCTACTCGGCATGCAGCTCAGGAACACAAAGCAATGCTGCTTTCTATGTAAATGAGACAGGAGAGCCAGAAAAAATCATTAATGTGGGAAAACTTTCCTACTCGAATTGATCTCCTGCCTGGATAATTCTACCTGGTTAACACTCTTCTTGGTAATACCAAAACTGTGTATCTGTCTCCACTGCTCATTAAATTGTGTTTCGTCAAAAACGTTGTGAAAGCCATAGTTTTATGTATTTATGAGAGAAGTTCACAAGGATAAATGAAGCAAAAATAAAGAAAGGAATATTTGTAGAATCGCAAAATGAATGGATGATGAATATTTCATTGATTGTTGAGTGTTGTTGAAAAAAGGCTTGGTGTATTATCACAAGTATCTGTATAATTTACAATACATTGTTAAAATGTACTAGTATTTGAATACTTTACACACTCTCTGCAGAAAGCGTTATATTTTTGGCGGTCAATAGGTGGAAAATGTAGTATCTGCAATATTTAAGATTAATAAATTTATTGCACATAAGAATCTTAATAATGATTTTTTTTAGAATTGCATACATATTTAATTACATAAAATATAGTTTGGGAAGAAATAGTATCACTTGATTTGAATACTCGTTGTTTTCGAATCGAGTAATGTTCTTTAAAACGAGTACTTAGTAGTTTAATAGGAAGTTGGGCATACTGAGTGTAAATGAAGACGAAATTAATGGTAGCAGTAAGCAATAAAATTCAGAAAATATGTTAGCATGATATTTACCCTTCATTAAGAAACAAAGTAGTAAAAAATATTTACAAGAATTGGTGCAACTGTCTTAGAGGAAATGCAAAAAAGCCATATAAATATGTTTACAAATTTTTTTTCAATATCTTCTGATAGAAAAGCATAAAACCTCACTAACTGACGGAAATATAGTAGGAAAATATTATATTAACTACATACATCTAATTACATAAAGTATCACGTGCCACACCACATCAATTCCATTCAGAACATTTCACGAAACATTCTGTGAAAGTAGTAATAATTTCTGGTGTATGCATGGGAACATTCACATGTATCTTAAATTTAGAGCTACAACTGTTCCCCAGTAGTAATTGGTATGCTGGATCTCTACAGTACATATCTTGTAATAATTATAGTTTGACATCTAGAATGACAAGCCAATTAGAATACAATAGCATAAAATTTCCAACGTTCTAACATTTTAAATATATTTATTTACATCTGTTCAAATGTTATGGAAAGTGTAGTTTTTATTGGTTGTGTAAAAACTGAATTTTTTTGTCTTACTTCTTTCTTACTATGACATGTGAAGCTAGTAATATATTATTGAAAACTCTACTTATTTTTCTTTTTTTAAATGTATTCATTTTTTTTCAGCAGATCATGCTTTTCAGGAAGTTGAACTAGTAAATGATATGAACATATTAAATTTTTACTCTAATTTTTGCTATTTTTCTTTTAGCTAATTGTGATCTTTGCCAGATGGTGTTTATAATTATTATTATGTTTGTATGTTTTTAATTGTTTTATGTTATTTTAATGCGATTTTGTCTTAAATGTCTTTGAATATATTTATCTTTAATTTTTGTTTATAGACATGAATATAAAGGTAGATAATCTTCTTTAAAAATTGAGCTCAACCTTTGAAAGGTTCTTATTTGATTAACAATACAAACATTAATGAAAACAGCAACAATCAAAGTTCTCTGTACATTGTCAACACTTTTACCATATACTTTGAGAATGGCATTTATTGCAACAAAAAATAAACAAACAATATGTATTGCCGGTCCGGAGGGTCGAGATCGCAAAGGCAGTAGTGCCGTAGCGATCTCGGACCGAAGGATCGCGGGTTCAAGTCCCACCTCGGGCATGGTTGTATTGTGTTCGTCCTTTCATCCCCTATCATCATCATATCATGTCATCCTCATAGTTACCATACCGATACACGCAATAGTGGTCGATTAAGACCTAGAAGTTGATGCGACCTCGAATTACAAAAAAACAATATATATTCAAAAATAAGAGAAAATTGAAAATTTGTTATATAAATATTCATGATTTACAATTGCCCGATATGAATATTTTAACATTTTTAGCATAAAACATGACCTTTCAGATCTTGAAATAGATTAGAAGCAGCTAAACTAACGTAATACATTTACTTAATCGAACACTAGTCCTCATTAAATAATACAAGTTTCAAACAAAATATAAAAAAAATACATACGCAGAATATAGAATTTTTGTGGGTAGCATTTCAACAGCCCGGTCACAAAGCGACCACTGTCAATTTTTAACAAGGGCGGGAACACATAATATCAACGGACCATAACACAGGAGTGTATATTTCTCAGTGGGGTACAGGAAGCGCGATAAGAGAATGTAAGAAGAAGTTTTTCTGACAAAAGATATGTTTGTCAGTTTTCTACCGAGTAATGCAAGGGCTTTCCGAAATAGGAAAGCAAATATTTGCGATTACTTCTGCTTTGCCAATATCATTTTTTCTTGATAGCGAGTACGCAATTGTCGAGACGTAGGGGGTTAATTTGAAAATTCATTGCAAAGGTCAGATGGTCATATAATGTCAGTATTACTTTGCTTTGTAATATATTGCGTAATAGCTTTGCTTTCTTTCACAAAAATCCAATTTCAGAAAACATATTTGCAAATTGTTATTTATTATACGTAATTATACCAAAATTAGCTGATTAGAAATACTGTAATACATTCAGTGTCATGTTAACAGTAAAAAAGTTATTTAATGCTGGTATCATCTTCCAGCAAAAATACTCGTTTGTATTTACATGAAAATCCGTTCTCTACTTACACCAATTTTTTGTTGTCAACCTTAAAATCAGTTTCAAGTAACTTACGTTCGTGATACGGTAGATTTGTCTTCACATCAATTTGCGAGCGAACTTCCCATGTCCACAAGCTTGCATTTGCCTTCTCCAGGATCTCTGGGTCATTGATGGTGCGAACCTTGTCATCAGGCCCTGTGGGAAAATAGAGACTATTCAAACTTTCCCCTAAAACAAGGTCTAACCACATTATAAAAGGAGAAAAGGATCTTCTTATATGGTCGTTCGTTCACCAGCTTCCCGCTCCCCAGTTTCATATGAGTCATGAGTCACATTACTGAGAAAATCTTTTCTTAAAAAGCGATACAATTAATATCTGTTTGGAGAGTGAAATACTGGTTTTCTATTAGGTTAAAAATCGTTACGAACACTAACGACACGATTGCAAATCTTTGACATATACTAGTCCATTCATGTAAAACATGCATACGAGTTCTTCGACTGTGTACTTTATACTAAAATGAAAATCACAGGAAAAAAGTTACTTACAAACTTCATCTTATAAGTCTGGCAATTACAAAGAATGACTGAATAACAAAAGCGTATCAGATGCGGAAATGTCTTGAGACTACAATAAGATCAGATGCAGGAATGCCTTGAGACTGCAAAAACATTTTGCAGGCGCTAAGGAGCATCATCAAATTTATTCGGAATATGATTACCTATGTAATCAAATCAAGTTCAACTTCAGCTTTCGTATTTGTCCAGTGATCAAGGTTTTTACTAAATTTAATAAAGTTCAAGTAACATGAATAATAGTAAGAAAAGGTTAGAAAAAGTTTGTAATTAATCAACTTTTTGTCTTGTCTCTTTATGGAGAGTCCGTTCCTGAATTTTGGTCTTTGAGTTTTGTTAGACGGGAAGTAAGAAAGTATAACTCCCACCAAAATTATTTCTAGATTAAGAAAGAGAACATTTTGATTCAAAGGATTTAATTTGGTTGCATAAAAATGACAAAACCGAAGTCATCTGTGAGCCGTACATTAAAAAAACAATGTCATTCTCTACTGACAACATTCTGTCTTTTACCAAAGGTATAGTAAAACAAAAAACCAAAATTTTTAGAGTTTACGCTGTTTCTAAAATATTTTATATCTGAGCCACCCACATACTGAACAATAAATTCCCTGGCAACCTCAGTCCTTGTAACTCACATATAATATAATGTCGTGTCACACGTGACATTTGGGTCGTGACTGCTTATTCGTTCCACTTTTGGAAGTTAAGCTATGTTATTCACCTCTGCTTTATCATGGGCTTACGTATTGTAATGTCCTGTGATTAACAAATGGATTAACGAGTACAAAACAAAGTACACTAAAACAATACTTAAAAAGATAATGTTATAACAAATAGAATTAAATACGTGCGTAGTTGAATATGTGAAAAGTGCTGGTGCAATAAATGAAGATGTACGTCGCAAATGGGTTTTAAATTGATAATTTCTTTAAAAAATAACCCACAGAAGCACTTCTCAAATAACTAGTAACTATTTTCTTGAAAAACATTTAATATGTGTTTGATATATGAAGACAATTTCCTCACAACACAGCGGTGGCTTGTCACGTCCCTACAATGTATGGATGATGGTAGGGATCATTATGATGTGTGAATGAAGATGGATGATTAATGATTACGAATGAGATGACGGTTCAGATGGAACACATTGTGGTGAGAGAAGCCAACTACACCACAATCGCATGGGAAAAACACCCATGCTTATCGCGGTAATCGAACCTACAGCCTCAGGTTCCACGTAGGTTTACGACGGTCCAAGCTCCTTCGTTTCCAAGCCCGGCGTCTGACATACAGATGCGTAGAAATGAATAGAATTTAACCAGTTGCCAGGGTAGTACATACAAGCAAAATATATTCAATGTAGAAAGAGATGCAGTACACATTTTTATAAATACAAAATAAATGTAATATATTAAATAATATCTTATTTAATAAATAACATAATTATATTGTATTTCATATTTCCTGTTTTAAGAATGTAATAAATATAAATAATAAAAACGAAATATCAATCATAAATTCATACCTGTGTACTGCCCAAAGTCTCTCGGGTCGTAGAAGATCTGGTTCTTCCACATATTCAAATCCAACAGCATCACTAAGAAGATAATTCCATAATTAAACCATTTCCCTGGAAGAAAAAAAATTCACAAATCTTAAAATACAAATACTGCAAGCGTTATCGTTATTGTTAATGCGTAGTGCTCTAAAGGGAAATACGAAAACAGGTCAAATTAAATGTCAAATAGAATACGTGTGTTGTAACCCATAATGCAATTTTAATAATGTAATAAAACAAATTTCATTATGTATAAATGAAGGATTTAAGAAGATATAAAAATTAAATTTTTTTAAAAACAAATAAACCAATTTAAAAATAATATATCTTCTTATCTCCTCTTATGCAGTTATCTTCATTACTCTGCTGCATCCTCCATTTGAATACAAATTTTCTTCAACATTTTAGTGTTCTCGAAGGTACGCCTTTGAGAGAACATGAACCAACATCTACTAAGTCTAAAAATGTAATTGCATTATTCAAGGAATGAAATTGTTATTGGCCGGGTGTGTGTTTAGTAATTAATATTTTCGTTATTTTATTTTCACATTACTTTATATCGCGCTCTTTGCGATATTTTCGGGGTTTTAGTGTTTTCGTGATAATGAGTTTTGTGCACGTATATGTGCATTTCCACAGAACAAATAATACAATAGGTTTGAAAATTCTTGTTTAAAAGAAGGAAAAACAGAAAATACATCAGCGTTCATGTTGTATACAGAAAAAAACAAGATACTTAGGATATTGCAATTATCATTTATCAAGTAATATTAAGATCATTTTACTTTCCCTAATCCAAATCAACTTGGTAGCATAAAACTAACTTCATGCTTATTAGGGTCTAATCAACGAATAAAACAAATTTCTTACACCTTCAGATTATAGTCACAATTATTCCTGGGGTGATAAAATAAGTATGTCGTGTGCCAGGTAGTGAAATGTGAGCGGTACTATCTAGCGTTCGCACCAGGTACCCAAACTTACAAACTTCCGACAAACACGAAACACACACGCTCGCGCGCGTGTGATATATTGCGGAAGCAACGACTGTTAATTCTGCGAGAGGCGCCGCCGTGAGCCTCTAGTTCGCGCCAGGAACTGCCTGCGAGGTTCGCCACCAGAGGGCGCACTGGGTCGGAGCGCCGCGACCGGCCGCGCCGTGCCGCGCCTGAGAAGTCCTCGACGGCAACGTGCAAAACAGTCGTGCGTGCAGGGTTGCATAGCTATCAGACGCTAGTGGCCTTTATGTATGCAGTGGCGCCAACTCTGAGAAGATTCGGAAGGGTGGTGACGACCTCAGACATGTGTGGTCGCAGACTCATGAATGAAGTATGAGGTGGAAATCCATAAGTTGGAGAGGTTCCGTTTTCTATTTTCTTATTTACATTCCCGATATTAATTTGTTTGTATCACTGAATGCTGTGATGGACTCTGTCCGCGATAAAATTTCACAATCATATGCGCATATAAATAGGTTGTAGTAGTTAGATAAAAATACTGACTGTGCTTTCAATATATTTTTATTATGCGTACTAAAAAACTATATATTTCAATTGTGTTTTACGGAGAACAAATATTTCTTTTAATTAACCATTTTTAATTAACCATTTTAATTAACCTCTATCTGATTTGTTATCAGATTCTTTTACCCCTATTTCATTACACAGAAACAATTAATCGTAATTGCCATAAAACCGAATATTATATCCGAAAATCTACTCCGAAATGTAGTGAAATTATTCCCAAATCTAAGTGAAATCAGATCTTAGTTACATCTCAATTGATAAACAATTGATATGCTACATTCCAAGGCGACGTAAACGTGAATATATTGTATTTTAACAGGATAGTCATCCTAACGGACAAACAGAGATTTGTACTCTGGATTCCACTGAAAAATCATATTTCTTATGATTGTTTATTTAGGCGATTTTTACGTAAATTAATTAATGTGTTGTAAAGTTTACATTCTGCTAAACTGCCTCAAAGAAGGCATTCATCTAATACCAAAAAAGGTTTAAATGTTCCTCGATCGGTCACAATATCGAATTTCCATATTTAAATTGATCTTTCTACATGCATACTGTCATGGAAAGAAATTGTCTATCATTCTACAGACTTTAATATTTTATAAGAACATATTATCCAACATTTTGAATTTTGCGAAATTTGACGAAATATTGCAACTAGTATTCATCATAAATATATGAAAATACTTAGTCATTTCATTCAATTATTTGATATTTTCTGCTTTCGACTGAACAAAGCAGAGACCTTTAAAGTACTAACATTACTTTCAAAATGGCAACCGGCCTGTACTTTTAATGGTAATGCTAAGTCGACTAAGATAATTATCACCTTGGAAAAGAGTTTAATTACTGCTTACTACGTTACCGCAAAGCGTAATTTCACCTTTGTGGTTAGCTTTAATTATACACCATTGTGTTTTAGTCGCGTGAATGATGTATTGTTTAAAAAACTCTCAACGCACCGTCAGTATTGTTCGTAAGTGCCCTTGCAAGGTAATTTTGTCCTCTACAGGTACTTTATTCCGTTCTATCTTTTCTTCAAACGAAAACACACAAGAGTTCATTTAGCTACACAAAACTACACGTAGCTACAAACAAGGTTATAGTTTCCACGTTTTAATTTTGTACTATCATCACTCTTAAGCTACCTGCTGTTCTCTACAACGTTTTCTAAATATTCCTAGGTTTTACTCGGAAGTTGTTGCTCGAAAAATGTTCCAATACCTAGTGGGACTTCACTGGCAGTATATTGACCCAAAATCATAAATATAAACTGAATTTGAAATACAACCAAATGCAAATGAATATCATGTACTTATTGCTGGAGAATGTCTTTTTTAGATGAACTCTTTGTTTAACAACTTATGAACACTTAACAAGTTCTCTAAATTGACAATACGACATGAGCGACGTGTAACGACATACGGGTGTTAGAGCAAAGGTTTCGTATAAGAATTGCGATTTTTTATTGCCTCTCATGTAACCACAAGGTGAAATCGTCACACGTTTTGCAGGTATTTTATTGCTCAGTCAAAAACTTAAAACTATTTTATCTGGTCCTGGCATATATTAATTTAAATTATTTCACATCTGAATTCAATTTTTACTGTCTTCTCTGAAAATGAATTCAATAACGTGGACTTGAACATCGCTTTTTGAGATACATATCAGTGTCTTAGACGAAGATTGTAATTCAAGTCGGGAATAGTTGGATAATAATATGCAATAATCATGCATGTAATACAATAGTAGTATAGTAAGGTCAGTATATTACTATATATTACAACATATTTTTCGTTACGTTAAAAGATTGTGTTAATTATATTAACGATGATACACGTAGGCTAATAAAGCAAATTTGTTTGTAAATTAATTATTATTATTATAATTATCATTATCATTATCACTATCATTTGCGTATCGGCCATTTCCAGTCACGCTACACGTTTTCTTTCGAGGCCCAGTCACTATTCTGGAGAGAGGTTAACGTGTGTCATTATAGGGATCAACTTTTTGTCTGTATCCCTCTACAAGACAAGGTTGTTAATTCATGAATTATTCATGAGGCGACAGGATTATGATGAGAGGCGATCGTGACATTTTAACTATCCCAGTATTCGCCTGTTTGGCCGTGGGAAAACACGAAAACCCAGGGCAGGATGGCGGGTCCGGGCATCGAACCCGGCCCTCCCGACGCGCTACACACTCAGCCACTTCGTTCGGTTTGTTGTTGTTATTATTATTATTATTATTATTATTATTATTATTATTATTGTTATTTTTCAGATATTTCAAAATAAATATTAAAAATGTCTAGGTCAAGTAAAAGGATCAAAGTTGCTCCATTTTGTCAGTGAACATGAGGTGGGAATTTCACGTAACTAAAAAACAAAGTGTGGTTAGACCTTTTTCAGCTCATGACTAGCTCTTGGTCAGCGTTCTCTCATTCCAATACATGGCTCCAGGTTCAATTCCCGATCGAGCCAAGACGCGTTTATGAGCGTATAGTGTGCGAGGCAGGGACGTCGCCGATAAGCCTGAGTCTGTTCCCGGGCTGTCGCGCCAAGTACATACATACAAGACACAAATGTAACGTTTGCTCCTGATTGTTAGGCAATTTCACATACGCTTGGCAGGTACGCAAAAAATCCCTGTCTACGTCACGTGACTCTGCGTTATCACTTGACCTTGTTGCGGAAGTGGAGAGCACCACGTGCGTTTTTTTCACCTGTAACGTCCACTTCTGCGTACTTCCACTGCAGGGTGGCCACGCTGAAGCCAGGCAGGTTCACGTGCAGCGTCGTCGTGAAGTGCGGAAAATCCCAATCTTGCATCACGATGAGCAGATCCATCACCAAGATGAAAGAAGCGAGGAATGCTCGCGACAACTCTGGAAGAAACGCAACGAGCATTAATTAAACCGAGTTAAACGGATCCGGCTGCTGAAGCGAGTGCGGTTTAGCGTTGGGGGAAGTGCCGAGTACAAAAGGCAAATACAAAGGGCAAAAAGAATTTCATTTTAGAGCGCAAGCGCTTAGTTGGAATTAAAAAAAAATATATGCACACAGCGAAATGAACATGTCCATGAATGCAGGCCGTTCGCTTTATGAAAATTCCTCTGCTTTTGATTGCGCATTTCTAACATTCATTGAATTTGAATGTTCATCTTATGACTATTTTTATAACACAGTTCTGCATTTATATGAATACTTTTTACTTTAAGATATTGCACGAGTGGTTATTAAGTCCGCAAATTAACCGTAGTAAATCGGGAGGTTCTAGTTTCGAATCCTGATTGTGGCGGATTTTTGGTCCCAGCTAATGAGTTGATATGAAACTGAACGATCCTGGTTGCGAATTTTGAAAGTCATCTGCTTCTATGCGTCGGTTGTGTGGTTTCTTTCAATCATTTCCGGGCGAATGCCAAAGCAGTACCTTAATCAACCATTTTTGGGGCGAAGAATTGAGAGAGATCTTTTTCTTCTCTCTCCCGTCCCTCCTTCCGTCTTTAAGACAGGCTGATATGGTGAATCTCATCGCCGACAAATTCCCCTTTGATATAGAATCTAGAAAGTATCCGGGCGTGCACTGGGGATATGGAATGCAACGAAAACTATAAAACTTCTCAGTATCTATGTATTAAAATTATAAAAAGCGTCGTTACTAGAAAACTGGTAAAATGCTGACGTGAGATCTAAATAACGGTTGGATGAATTTACGTAATTAAGCTTTCGTTCAAGTCGTTTAAGCCGTTTCAAAGCTTAGAATCCATTATTACCTCGTTTTTAATCAGTGCTTGACATTTCACTCTTCTAAAAATAATTCACGTAAATATGAATTACATTAACCCAGCGTATTTCTCAAGAAAGATTTGGCACACCTAACAACAAACAGGTGCCTTTACTGGCTCTACGAATAACTAAACTTCCGTATCGTTTCCATTTTGAAAGGGAATGAAAAATTAATTGAGAATTAAAGAAGTTTGTGTTTTTAATTACATATAAAATTGTTTACGGGAAAACTGCTAGAATAAATAAAACTTAAAGATCTTGATCAATAATATTATTTAGTAGTATCTATTTCTGGCTTGTCTTGTGACGTAATACGATTCCTTAACTTACTTCTCGTTTAGATCCGAAAGAAGGTGGAAGTAGAGTGACTAAGAACGTGCGATAAAAAGAAACGAGTCGAGAGACAGCAAGTTCTAACAAGACGGAAATTAAGCCGAGGATTTCCGATGCGGTGGAGCAAACTCAGCGGGAAGTTTAGTGAAACTGTAGAGAGGTACAAGTCGCGACGACAATGGCGGAGAAGTAGCAGTGGCAGTAGCGGACTTTAAAGAGGAAGTTAACAAGATGGAAGGTTCTCCGGCAACGCTACTGATATTGCTGATCGCGGAACATATTTTTGTGAATTGATTTATTGAACGCTGGATCATTACACAGTTCAGCATCATAGTACCTTTTAATGTGTTGGAATGGCTTACATTATAACTTGTAATACTAAACTTAACATAAATTTAACTACATTATTCATGATGTAGGAAACTAAAAGAGTCCCTACTATACACAATTAATGGAAACAATTGGAGCACGGACAGTGGCGGCTTCTAAGAGGAGAGAAGAAAGGAGAGAAGAGAGGAGAGAAGGGATGTCGACCTCACGTAGATTCTTCTTCGGTATGTGCCAAAAAATACTTACTTCGGTGTTTGAGGGAAATTGTACGAGTTTTTTAGGTAACAGGTATAAGAAAATTTACTTAGAAACGTATTACGAAATGGCACCCAGAAGGAATTGTCAGCCTTTCTTTCTCAAAAAGAACACGTGCGTTAATCACACATATTTGCAGCGCTCCTGCGAATGAAACAAGAAACGTTTTGAAATACAGCTATGCACTCTGATAAAGGAAATCCTCATCTTTTGAACTGCCATCTACAGACGTCTTTTCAACTACTAAATATCCGCTCAAAGGAACTTCGTCGATGTTTAGAATCGACGATCGGAAGTGCGCAAACAGCGCAGCTTGCGCAAGTTGAAATCTCACTACGTTGGGAGGTTAAGACCCGTGAGAATAGACACGTCAAACTGCTAGATAATCCTCTCTTATCCCAAAACAAGTCGCTGGATGCGATCAAATTTGCTGTAGTTTTCATTGGAAATTGTTTAGGTAATTGAATTCTTGGCATTTCCTCCTCTTGCTCAATCGTGCACGTCCGCCATTTTCTTGTAAGATGGTTGCGGAGGTAAATATTGTAAAGAATATGACATACACTGCAGTTGATTTGATAAATAATGTGCTGGCACAAAAAGATGGAGAAGGTCATTATTGGAGACAGTTCAAGTAGAGAGAAAGAAAATGACATACTTGGCAAGAGAAAACGGTTCGAGTATGAAGGAAGTGGTAATGGGAGACAACGCAGGGAGATGTAGTATGATAGCGGAGAAAAAGATGGTGAGTTGTTAGGCGGAGGGTTGGAATGGACTAGTGGTGCTAAAACGGAAAATTACGCAAAAAATACTCAAATTTTCGAAACATTGTACCTGACCATATTTCAAAATCTATCTTTAAAAAACATATTTCATTAGCGGAAGAATATCTATTACTAATATTTTAGTTAGCGGAGGAAAAAAGTTTTTGTCGTACTTTTGAATTTTTTGAAAATAGGGAATTTTTAACGAAAAAAGTAAAATTGAAATATCAGTTTCAAATTCAAGAGACCGCGACGTCAGTCAGATCGATTGGAGAATGTCAATTTGGGAGAAAATCAGATGAAAAGATTAGCAGTTTTCTTCAGACATGGACAGACATTTTCTCTGCATTCGAATTTTCGGTATCGAGGAGCCACAAAACATGGACTACACCACGTGACAGTGGATATTTGATTCTAAATTTAGCAACCGGATTTATCCACTTTTTCGTTGCTAGGGCCCTGCAGTAAGAGTTTTTCGGTCGAAAATTCACCGTTTTTTTCGCGCAGCAATACACCGTACCATTGCACAGCTACTCCGTAGCGACAAGGTAAAAATTGGCTGTGGAAGCGGTAATGGAAGCGGAGACGGTTCGGGAGGGATAGGGAGAGGAGACTGAAGCAGAAGTAGAAGCAGCGGGTCGCGGCGTGCGGAGGCTGTCGCCCCAACTTCTGCCAAAGAATGTCAGCGCAAGGAAACAGGAGTTGTCGGCGGCAGCAGAACCCTTCTGCTCGGAAGCCCTGATCTCGCCTGCGGGCTTCGGCACTGCGAGCGAAATTGTGGGGCGGGGCTTTGGGATGGGAGAGGAGAAGTTCGTTATAACTAGAGCAGATATTGTACTTTTTATCGTATGAAATAAAAGCAAGAAACTTTTCATTAAGCTGTTTCAACATTTTGCTTCATTTGTACAGAAGTAGAAAACGGAAAAAATGAGCATAAACGTTACATTTGTAACAATATTACGTGCTGCTATATTAATAGACGTTATTAACATCTAGCATTGAAATTTTCTATTAAAACTCTAAAATAGCATTTATCTATCAATATTTCATTTTATTTCTTGTTATTCCTTAGAGATTGTAATGTGGTGTCAAAATAGTAAAAAATGCTGATCGAAACTTTCGTCACAGAATCCGTAAGTCACCAAATGTGTCTCCCCGTGTCTAATCCACGACAGATTTACAGCACAGGAGTCCATTTAACCCAATTCCTTTGAATGCATGTTCTGTACGTTCCCCGTGTTCAGGTTTCCCTGAACACCGTGACAACTGCCTTCCTATGATACAAAAATTCTGCCTTCGAATTCTTGTGTCTCAAAACTCTCTTTCACAGTAGGCTAAAGACGCCCCCACACGCCCTCGTGTCCATATTATGGTAACGCTACGATGAGCTTCCGCACCTCCCCGGCCTCTGCCTCTCCGCCTTCGGCTCCTTAGTCAACGGAAGCGTCTCGTGACCCCCCCCCCGTTTGCGGCAACCCTCGTATTTTCTCCTCCGCGGCGTAGTTGGAGCAATGGCCCCAAGAGGTCGCACAGCAGCCTCCCGAAGTAGCGCCAGAGGGCGTCGGCGGCGGGGAGCGCGCGACCTCATTCTGAGGCGGGAGGGTCGAAGAGAGCGTTGTTGGGCGGGAGATGGGGAGGTAGGAGGACCTCTGTGTGAAGGAAGGAGGAGAGTAGGGAAACAAGTGGAGCCTCGGACGTTAGAAGAGAGAGATGAAGGAGGAAGGAGATGGCCGGGATGGAAGGCGATATTCGGGGCAAGGTGAAGAGTGGGAACGAAGAGGGGGCGGGGGGAGAGTGGGAGGGAGAAGGGAGAGGGAAGGATGTGTAATCCCCCTATATTAGCCTACGAAATGTGCATTCTTTCCAGCAGTCCAAAACTACATCTTCGTTTCAATTAGCTACAACACCTCTTTTAATATTTAGTAAAATATTTTATAAAGTACTTTATAGAGTTTTTTTTACATTCAATATCTCTCAGATTTGTGCAATTCTTGCAACATCATAGCTCATAGACGTTCATGTCAGCTCTCTAAGAAAAGGTCCTTTGTTTTGACGAACTACACGTAACGCCCCAAAATCATCTTGCCATACATCAAACTTTTACGAAGAAACCGGAAATACCTTTGCAATCTGAGAGGGTTTCGCGCACATTTGTAGAATTCTTTCCTCAGCCGATGGGAATGAATAACCGTCACGAAAAAAGTTTTTTAGGATTTTAAAATCGCGAAATTTTGCAAGTATCGTGTATAGTCGGAGGATGGAGGAAGCTTTGTTCTCGAAATGACGGAATGGTCTGGCCTGTAACCAAGATTTTGAAAACATTTTCCACGACGTTCAAGTCTTGTTAGAAATAATAATGATATGATTTAGAGCTGGAAGGAAGGAAAGAATGGAAACAAGAGGAAGAGAACGGAAGCGAG